AAGTTAAAAAGTTAAGGACTTGTAGTCCTAAACTTCAAGTTACAAGCTCACAAATTAAGGACATTTGGCCCTTAACTTAGAGTTACAAACACAAAAATTAAGGACAAGTAGTCCTTAACTTAGAGTTACAAGAACAGAAATTAAGGACAGGTAGTCCTGAACTTCGAGTTCCAAGTTCAAAAGTTAAGGCCATATAATCCTGAACTTAGAGTTACAAGTTCAAAAGTTAAGGATAGGAAGTCCTAAACTTAGAGTTACAAGCTCAAAAATTAAGGGCATAGTGTCCTTAACTTAGAGTTACAAGCACAGAAATTAAGGATATTACCTTGATGTCATTTTGAATCTTTTTTCTGATAAAGCTATTTTTTTTATGTATTCTAGTACTTTCTGCCTGCATATCCTTTTTGAACTTCTCCGATAATCTCTGAATCAAAAACCATAAAAACAAAAAAGTCTCTTAAGCAAAAATAAGCAATAAAAAACTAATGGTATTCAAAGATAGAAAACCTACGTTAACAATTTTCTTAAGCAAGATTTCATCAAATTGTGTTGAAGGCATTGAACTTTGATCTTGAGACAATGGCACATGTACACTAGCGGGCTCCGCATCTTCTTCAGAAGAAAGAAATGGTACCATCTCGAGCAACAGATACAACTATTATATAAGGAAAAAAAAATGTAAGTATTCAGAACTAAAACACATAAACAAAAAAAATAGCCAGTAATCCTATTAACTTACTTTTTCATTATGGAAGTACTTTTTACATAAGGTGTCATAATGTGGAGATTTCATATCTGAATAACATAGCATCCGAGGGAACCCACATTCTCTGAAGTTCACAAATTATTTTTTCTGAAAAATTGGGAATACTTCCATAATCCAAACACAGAAGGCGAAAGGGAAGCCAAGTATAGTATAACTGTCCTTCTCTTTCTCTTTCTCTTTCTCTTTCTCTTTTTCATTCTCATTCTCATTGTCTGAAGTATTTTGTTTGGGCTTCAAGCAACTCTTCAATGATTTTAGTAACTTTTCATAACAAAGAGAGCCCCAATTGAAAGAAAAGCAGAGTTCATCGTCATCTACGATTTTCATTGCCCGCTCAGACACATTCTGATTCGTGCGCTTCCCCATCAACACAGATTCAATAAAATAAATTATTGCCAACTTCACCGCATCGTCATGGCTACCTACAAATGATGCAGTTGTACCATATGGGTGACTAGTAATAAAATGCCACAAATCGCCTAACTCAATTCTATCCTTTCCAGGGAAGTAGACTTTCGAAAGCGTATTCTCTCTTTCACTCAAAATTTTGAAGTCCACTGAAGAAAAATATTTTAACCCAATAATTATCTGGAACGCTTCACGTGTAAACTTCACTTCATGATAAAAAACCTTGAATGTCATTGAATTCGAGTCATTGCTTACAATTTCTGAAAGCAACACATAATGAATAAGTTTATCACAAAACTTCACACCTTGTAATCGGAAAAAGTTTTCGAAAAGACCATCCCTCAACTTCTTCTATTGCGTGTTCGACAAGAAACTTTTTATTGTTTCCTTATACTGAAAATCTCCTTTCCAATAGCTCATCGAATTACGCAAATCATCAAACTCGAAAACACGATCTCCTTCCATTAGCACACTATAAAGAAGGAAATAGAACGTAAATATTAGGACTATTTTTCTGAAATATCCTTAATATTTAAACTAAAAAACTAAAATCTAGGACCTAAGTAGATGCATCTTTAATAGAAGAACAGTAAACTAAAATTAGCTTACAAATTCTTAGGACTATTTTTCTGAAATGTCCTTAATATTTAAACTAAATTAAAATCCAGAACCTAATTAGATACATTTTTAATAGAAGCACAATTAACTAAAATTAGCTTACAAATTCTTAGGACTATTTTTCTGAAATGTCCTTAATATTTAAACTAAAAAACTAAAATCCAGCGCCTAATTAGATGCATCTTTAATAGAAGCACAGTTAACTAAAATTCCTAAACACACTTAGCTTACAAATTCTTAGGATTATTTTTTTAAAATGTCCTTACATAATCAATATATTGATTGAACCACAAACACATTTCAATACCAAAAGGTTCTCAATAATTTTCTCACAAAAATTCGCTCCTTATTCCTCAGCGAATCAAGTTATAATCATTATTTTGGACATTTCACACATACTTGATGACAAACACAACATTGATCATGATTAGAGATATACAAAAAGAAAAATGCATAAAAGCAAAATCGAAAACATACAGTTCGCTGGTTCGCTGCAGAGAAGATGACAAAGGAGAAGAGATTAAGTTGGACAAAGTATACGCAGAGAATTGTTGTGGGCTGGGCAGGAACAAAATCTCACAAAGAGTTGCATGCGGGAACGATATTGAGGGAGCGAAATTTTGCCTCTGAAATTTTGGCTCTGAACTTAAATCGAGAGAAGCGTATAAAGGAAGGGTTTGGGAATAAAAGAAATAGAAGAAAGGGTAAAAATATCTTTTCATATTAGTTTTAATAGAGTAGTGGCTATTTTTGCTCAACATAAAAATTGGTGGATAAAAAATAAACACCACCTTATTTAGTGGCTACCACACGTGTACATTAGGCGCATGCCACGAGTTTGAACTGTGATATAAATAAAAATCTGATATTTAAATGGAGAAGAGTAGAGGGATTAACCCATTATCCATAGAGTTTTGAAACGTATCCTACTAACCTTTTGAAATTTCTCAGTTATCAAAAAGAAAATAGAGTTATACTCATTATTTATATCTTATTCATTTCCTTTCATTCTAACAATCCAACCCTAAAATTACTACTTCTTTCAATGGTTAATATCTTGGCTATTATATTCGAAAGTTCAAAAGTTGTGCCATTTCAAGCGTTTAAACCACTGCCTTAAAAAGATTAGCCCATTATACAAAACATCACGCATTCACGTACGATCCGAAGAAGGGTCGCACCTATCAAACAACTCCAAAACTACACTTCGAAGCGCCCTATTGGTATGACTGAAAATGAAATGAAATAAATATGAAACTGCCCATATAGAGAGGATAATAGGAAGAACAAAACATGGAGTGAGCATAAATTTAGTTTGTTGATTGATACAGACCGAACAAAATACTTGAGAGAACCAAGAGATTTGCAAATAATTTGGATTGATTTCATCATAGACTTCTTGTTCACAGGTATAAACCACCCATGCCCCTGCTTCTCTGTTCTGGACTGTCTGACTGGTGCTACCAGAGACGGAGTCAGAATTTGAAGTTTATAAATTTTGAATTTGTCGTCAAATTCATAGTTCGTTTTAGTTACTTGTTCGAAATAAATATTTATACATATTTTTTGAATTTTCTTATAAAATACAAAATCTAAGCAAAATTTATTGGGTTTATCCGAACCTGTAGCTAATATTGTAGCTGCTACTACTCCACATCAGATTCCTCACATGACTTTATCTGACAAAGTTCAAAAGTAGACACGCTCCCAACTGACAACCTTTCCTCAACTGGCCCAACTCCCAGTCTCCATTTCCCTCTTCCTATTAACGCTACTTCAGCTTTTGCATTCCAAAAGAATCTGTATAGCTTCTTATTAGCAGACACCAAAACTGAAATTTCTTTCACTTGAAGAATATTTTTCATTTTTTTTCCTTTTTTTGCTTAATGCATCCAGTATCCAAAACTCAAATAATCTGGATTCACACCGAGTAGACCTACTAAGAAAGTAAAGTTTTCCCTACCAGGAATTTCTCTCATCTTCAAAGCCCAAATATGCTTCTTCTGGTTAAGGTGGAGGGATCCCAATTATTTCACCACATGCCTTGGTGGTTTTCACATGAAGAACTACTCCTTCCAAATCCACAGCTTCAACATTTTAATTTAACAATAACAACAACCCAGTATAATTTCACATGTGGGTTCTGGGGAGTGTAGTGTGTACGCAGACCTTACCTCTACCCTGGGGTAGAGAGGCTACTTCCTAAAGAACCTCGGCATAATGAGATAAAAAAGAGACAATGGAACAGTAACAACAACATACGTCAGGAAGACAGTACCACGACCTAAGAATCAGAAAAATAAATGGAAAAAGTAGTTGCAATAATCAGAACAATGGAAATGTGCTAGGAAACTGGAGCAGAAAAATAGTACGAACACAATAAGTACCACTATCAAACTAAAGCAAGACACTAACAAACTAGCCTAACACCCACAACAGAGATGAAAAACGCGCAACTGCCTACGGCCCTAATGCTCGCCCTCCAAACCTTCATATCTAAGGTCAGCTTCAACTTTTTAAGTCCAGTCTAATAATTTATAGAAAGGACAGTATATGGAAAGAATCCATGTTAAACTAAATTCAGGTTGGACATCTCAAAATCAACTCATTTTATGTACAAAAGATTCATCTAACACCATAAAAACTAAGTGCAACAATTTAAAGTGAATCAGAATTATCCCCAAGGTCCAGTGTCAAAAGAAAAAGGAGCTATAACAATACAATTCTGTATGAAATTGCCACAATTTTGGCCACTGTTTGCTCAAGAAAGTAGCCAAAGAGTACATATTTAAAGCCGTGGACAGTTGTTGGAAAGTTCATTTAAAATGTTGTCGTTCTTTATCAATCACATCGGATTCCCAGTCATCAATCTCCTCAGCAGGGTGTATTCTACTATCATTCTCAAGTTCCAACTCGAGCTTCAACTTAGATAGTTCAGCAGCTGGATCCAAGGACTTCCCTTTCCGAAGTTTTGGTGACTTGAAACTGGACTCCAACGTCCCTGTTGTCTGATTGATAGCTAATGAAAGACTTCTTCGGACGTTCTCTCGCATCCATCGCCTTGGTGTTAGTACCACAGTTTCTGGAGTGGACATAGAGTCAGCCCTTGGCGTCTGGATCCGTGGGAGAGCATCCAAAAAGCACGCAGAGTCATCGCTTATTGGCAGCTTAGGAGATGAAGGAGTACTTTCAAGTACCCCTTTTGATTTTTCCTCAGTCTTCCTTGCTAGGGTCTCAAGTTCCAGCTTTGGTCTATTAATGGATTCAAATTCTTCTTCGAGCTTTTGAAGAGTATCAAATAACTCTTTCAGTTTCTGATCACCTTTCCTGGTTAAAAGCCGTGTTATTAATCTTGGGGTCATTATAGAATGCAACCAACATTAGTTCATACATAAAACAAGTAAATAATAACACTTCATCACCTAGATATCACGCCATCTTGCCCATGAAATTGTCTTTTTATGCCGTCCACTACACTGAACACCGTAACTAACTGCAAATTAATTTTAGGAAAAAGATAAAACAGAACATAAACTGACAATAAATAGAGAGGGAGAAAGAGAGAACGAGAATGAATAGGACAGAAAAAATACATAACAAGTTAGAGATAATGCTACATGTAGAAACAAACGAATGCAGATGGAGCAAGAATGTCAGGCTAGGCAAAATAAATACTCTTCTGGTGGAGAATGATCATGCTCTTGAGACTAGTGAACAGATCAGAATATATCAGAGAAATAAATATCCATGTACCTTAGCCTCTGCATTCAGGTATTCTTCTTCTAGCCTTCTCTTCACTTCGATTGTTTCCATCTTCTCATTGCTCGTATTCTCTGACCTGGCAATCCGAATTTAGAAACACGATTCCCCTTTAAAAGGATACTTTAAAATGTGAATTATGATACCGTTTCAACTTTTCTGCAAGTTCCCTAATGTTTGAAATAGAAGGGCCCAGCTCATCCTGTTAAATGCAAAGGAAAAAGGTGCTCATAACACTCAGTTTCACTATTATATCACAATCCAAAGCATTAATCTTAGACGCCCCACATGTAAACAGCCATACCTTGTACATGGATAAGACAGAGATTGCCAAGTTCACCAAATAATCTTCACATTTGTCCAACTCATCACTTGACATTTGAAAAGCACATCGTTAAGTTAACATTCTCCAGAAATCCTACTATTCAGGGATACATTAAATGCATGTCGAAATAATAGTACAGCTATTTTACTTTCACTCTTATTGCTACTAAGAAATTTAGCAAGCCAGAACAGACAAACTAACGCGGTAACACCTTTTTTCCAGATAAAAAGAAAAAAGAACCCAAAGACACATTCAGAAAAGCTCCATACTTGACCTGCTTCTGCTTTTGTTGGATATGAGAGGACTCAAAAGTCCAGGAGTCTTCTAAAAAACTAATAAATGCATCACAAACATCTGCTTCTGCCCGATATAAAGTCATTGATCTAGATAGCTCATCTTCCTGAATTTAGGATTGAAGATATTAGATCTTATAATAAGATGGTCATCCTGCAGACTACAAAATTATGCATTAACTTCATAATAAGATAAATTCCTTGACCATAATGCTTCATCGTCGACCTACCTTCACCTTGAAGTGTTGAAGAATTTGATTATTAGCTTCATCAAACTGCTCTCTTTCTTCCCTAGCATTGTGAAGACGGGCATTTGCAGAAACCAATGCAACTTTGACCTACACAAGTACTCATGACACAACATGATCAGTGATAAGAGTGATGATTAGATGATAACAGTATAGCATTGTGTAGTTCATAGTCAACCTTCCATAAATTCAGATTCTCAATGACCTAGGTCACGGGAGTAATTTCTGGAACACTCGTGCTTGAATGTTGAATATCATAGACTATTTTCTTCCTGCTCCTCAATTCAGGTGACCATTTTTCAGGAATACTTTCCATAAACTATTTGCAGCTCAGGCAACTCGAACTTCATTAAAGCTGACTCATTTTACTCGAACTTCATTGAAGCTGAGTCATTTTATTTCCTTTTCATTTTTTATTTCAGATGTCCCTTTGCTTGGAGTGAAAAGACTTGTTTCCATAATAAAATCTGATCATCCAATTTAAAACCTTAGGGCAATGGATTGAGTGATCCAGGATATTACAAACCCTTTTTGGGAACTCTTACATAACCGATGAGGGGCAAGTGTAGCATTTTCTAACACCCTCTCACATCTGTAACCTGGTTCTAGGGTTTACACATGGATTTGATTTTTTTTCTTTTTTCCTTCTTTTTTATTCATTTTCCCTGGAGTAAAGAAAGAAGGCTCAACAGGAGCGGGCCTAGAGTTGAGAAATAGAGATTAGGTTCAACAGGCTATAAGTAGACTTGGAGGAATGCTAGTTAATCGATGGGCTGAATTTTGAGAAAGAGAAGCCAAGAGCAGCTCCATAGGCGCAGTTGAGTGAGTGAGAGAGAGAGAGAGAGAGAGAAGCCCAGAACGATAGAACATTAGGAGGGAAAGCGACTGTGAAAACGAGCTCACCTAAGTTAGACTATGATACCATGTGAAAGAAAATGAACCTCCGGCACAAGTCAACCTCAAAATCTAGCTTATGAGATGTGGATTGTCCAAACCATACAATGAGACAAAAACTCATTCTTTCAACCAATGCATGACACTTAACCCCTCCCCTCCATCCCCCACATGTCCATAACTGGACATCTAGTGCATCGACAATATAACATGGGGCCCAACATTGGTAAACAAAGAATAAGGATGTGCCTGGCTCTTATATCATGTGAAAGAATCTGAGCATCCCACAAACCCTAAGGCAATGAGTGGAGTAGCCTAGGATATTATAAACCCTTTTGAAAACCCTTACATAACCAATGAAGGGTAAGGCCCATTTTCTTTCATAGTTTCAAAGAAGTATCTCCAATAAGGACACACAAGTCCTGATGGTTTGGCTAGTGAAGTTCAAGAGAAAGCTTATAGAATACTAGTAGGGGTCTCGCAAGTGTCCATCTAGAGAAGTCTCTCACAGGTACTTGGCTACCTTTAGCAGGCAATTGCTTGCTCCTGCTAAAGAAGTGTATACAAGTGATGCCATTCAGAAAATCTATAAGTAGGAAGGACTTCATTTAAGAAAAACTGAGCATAGTTATTACACACTGCACAATTTTACAAATATTAAGGATTAGTAGGCGAGGATCCTTCCACTATGAATGTCATTGCTGAATCTGAGGTATACAAGACACTAAGGAGGCTCTGCTCCCCATTTTCAAGCGACTAGTAGCTCTGGATCTTTCAATGAGAAGGTCGGGCCACACTCCTCAGGAGATTACTGTGCCTATTACAGTAAGCCCAAATTCCCACAGTTTCTCTGTAGTAAGTGAAGGGCGTCTAGATTTTCTAACTTTTAAACGGCTCTTTATCATTCTAGAAACAAAAATACAATTCAATGATGGTGTCTCCTTGCAGAGGAAAAATATATCTCAAGTCAGCGACATAATGCAGTATACTTCTCCATCTACTCGATTTAGACTCAAGAGTACTCCACTATCCCGTCGCTATGTATATGAAGTGAGACCCAAACTTTTCTTTTATAAGCGTGGTGTCCGGGCTAGCTTGCACACGCCTAGACTAATTCTACGGGGTACCTTCTACCTCCCATCAGCACATGTAGGTAACTATGTCCACCGAGGCTTGGAATGAGAAGAAATCACCTACAACTGGGGACTAAACTTGCATAATTGACGTGCTACAATCAAGTGGTAAATGCAGATGAAGTGGCTCAACAGCCCAAGTAATGCAACAAAATCAAAATAGAAGATTGATAAAACGTATTTCACTACGACATACACACTTTTGGTAAATAAAAGAAAGCATTAGCTACCTTTTTGAGCTCTGCTTCAAATTCATCTCTCTGACTCTCAAGTGCCTTAATTTCATCCTCAAGGTCCTAGAAAAGAAAATCAACTTCAACAGGTGAGTACAATCTCATCATCAAGAAAATTAACAACAAAGTCAGAATTTTTTTATCCCATCCCAAGAATTAGAGGACACTGAGACACGAAAACATGTGGGAAATAGTTAGCATCAGTTGGCTCTTTCAAGTAATTGTGAGTTTAACTCAAAAGGAAATAAAAAATGAAAGAACAGATCTGAGCACCCATTCTTTTTGTTACATGAAGATTCAGAAACAGTAAGAAGCAAAGAAATAAATGTTAGCGTGCCAGAAAATTAAGATTAAGAGAAGGAGATGTGCTATGTTATGGAGCTTATAGTTAATCCATGCATCTGTATAAATTAACTCTGTTTTGCCTCATTTAAATGTATAAAATAATCATGTTAACAACTTCTCTGACATATTAAAGATCTTAAATCTTTTCTCTAACAAACTTGCAATTTGACCCAGTAGTAGGAAAGATCAACCTGTGATGATAGTAGAAAGAAACAAGGAGAACACCTGTCGAAGCAGAGAATTTGAAATACATGAAAGGTGGACAATTACTAGCGTAGGAAAAGAGACTTTGCAAGAATCTGTATCTAGCTATGCCATCAAACCATTTCCCAGATATGAACATTAATTGGCTACAAGCAGTTAATACAATGTCCAATAGGAGCACGTCCAGGAAACCTTACCTTTTCAAGCTGGGAGATCTCGCCAGTTTTTACTATACGGAACTTAAGAGCTCCTTCCTTTTGGATTCTGCAGGGAAGAAATGGATGAAATCTGAGAATGTTTTGAAACAAGAACTGGATAATCCCACTAAAAGAAAAAAAGATGGCTCCTTCCATAGGAAATCCAATATTTTCCATTAGGAATAACTTGTCTTTAATAAAAAGGTATGACCATATTTCTATCAAATTCTAGTAAGTTTACAGTGTTAGAAGTATCAGATCCCTTACAGGAAAACTTAAATATAAGGCTACCCTTGGACTAGAAACTTCAGTAAACAGTAAGTTCCTTTTTGAGAAACATAAGTATGATTAAACAAAATTTGCACTGGTCTTGCCCATGATGTTTGCAATCACTCTAACGTACTAGTTAGCCTTTGCAAGATTGCTCTGAAATAGAGATCTGATTTGAATTACCAGGTATAT